GGCCGGGTGCAAGGTTGGTGGGCGCCCGGTGCCGCCGTGTCCACCTCATCTCCTCAGAAGGGAGTCCCTCCTTCAGAAGGTGTCTGTTGAGCACCTGCTATGTGCCAGGCGCTGTGCTGGATGCCGGGGACCCACGAGGAAGAGACAGTGAGTGTCCAGCACTCTCGAGGCTCCGGTGCTTGTGGGACAGGGTGCTGTGGGACAGGTCACGGGCCCCCCAGCCCTGATGCAGTGGTTCCTCACGTGGCCTGTGTTTGGGGTTCTGCCGGCGAGGAAACCGAGGCCCAGAGCAGAAGCCACTCTTCCCAGGCTGCCCTTCCCTGAGTGGCAGAGCTGGGGTTCCCAAGGCCTGTGCTCCCAGATCCTGCCTCTCCTGGGGCTCCCACGGGACAGAACACACGCAGAGGTGCCCTTCCACAGCTCAGCGTCGGCTACGCTGTGTGCTCAGTGCCACATTTCTGGAGGTTAACCCATCAGCATTCCTCGAATAAACCCTCCTGGTTATGCGGAACTGGTTCTTCTGACACAGAACTTGCTTTGCTGCTGTTACTTAGTATCTTTGTGGTTAGAATCATAGGAGACAGAGACCCAGCCTTCGGCTCTTACGCCGTTTGGACAGGAGTCAGTCATATCGTGCGTGGGGGCAGGGGGCAGATGGGACATCTCTGCACCTTCTGGCAATTGTGCTGAGAAGCTAAAACTGCTCTAAAAATTGAAGTCTATCCTAAATAAATGAATAAATAAAATAAAATGGGAAGTGTTTCCTCATCTTTAAATTCTGGTTTACTTAAGTCATGTAGCTAGGAATGATTTGTGCATAGAAGCTTCTATTTAATGCTTGTGTTAGACAATCTGGTTTCTTGTTCTTTGTGGGGTAGACACAGATCTTTAATAACCTGGCCAGCATATCTTACAGTTACTGATACATTCCTGTTTCCTACTTTTTCTTGAGCGAGTTTGGTAACTGGAGTAGCGAATCGGACAGCGTAATGAGTGAGAGTCCAGGCTCACAAATCGGACGGCCTGGCCTCCATCCCTTACACACCATGGGGATGTGGAGGATGGAGGCTCAGGCCCCCCGGGACCCAGGGGTGTGCCCCTACTTCAGCTCTGGCCTCTGAGGCTTCCCCCCAGCATGCCGATTGTTTGTTTTGCAGTTGGTGGGGGGCGGGTTAGGCACTAACACCAGAAGCCCTGACACCTTTGCCTGGTGCAGGACTGTCTCATGTGCCATTCTCCCCAGATGGCCCCTGACCGGGCCCTTGAAGGCCCACATGTTTCTTGCTCCCTGGTAGGTCATTGGTCTTTGTCCCCAGGAACTCTGGGCACCCTGGGACTGCCGGTCAGCAGGTGGCTTTAGCACATGGGAAGCCACTCCACCCTTGTCTGCTGCTTTTCGGTTTCTTTTAATGTCTGGAAGCTTGAAGGAGGATCTCCCCCCTCTTGGTATCCAGAACTTTCCCTGTGGCGTGGCTCGGTCTCCTCCCCAGAACTCTGTGCTCCCTTTTCGGAGCCCCTTGGCCTTGGGGCGCGTGGACACTCCCTCTGTGCTTCCTCTGTGACTGGGCCTGCTCCCCCCCAATCATGTCCTGTGTCTTTTCGGTCCAATGCTGGGCGACTCCCGGGGTCAGTCTGTGATTTACCGATTGTTTTTCATTTGTGTCTGTTTTGCCATTTTGCTTCTATTATTTAAAAACTTTCCACTTCCACACTTGCCGTAATTTCCAAGAGCCTTTCTCTGTGTCTGGGTCGGTCTTTCTTTGCAAAACAGGCTATTCTAATTTTATCTGCACAGATGCCTCTGGCTTCTCCCCGGATGATAAATTCCACTTGTCGGAAAGTCTGAGCCCCACGCTATGGGCCATTTGTGAGGCGCTCAGCCCGGCGACTTCCCCTTCCATCCGCAGCCTCCTCGCGTGAATCACCATTTGTTTTCTCCTCATAGTCACGGCACTTTAGATGTTAAGGTGGCTGGATCCTTCCAGCCAGCTCTGGGGAGCCATGTGCCCATGGTCAGGAGGTGGCGTCCAGGCTTGGCGAGGGGACAGAGGGCCCCCAGCTGAAGGACGGCACCCCACAAATGCCCAAGAGGGAGGAGGCCGGCCCATGTGGGATGGGCTGGCTGCCCCTGTGGTAGGAGCAGCTGGCAGCTCTGGCCATGGGGCTCGTGACTGTTCATGTCCGCTTCACCCCAGGGCCTCTGTGCCCAGGAGCCCTGGAGGTGAGGGGTCTTTGTTTCAGGTGCAGCGAGTGGGAAGAGGAAGCCACGGATGGCAGCAAGCACTAGAGTGGACTGGGCGACCGACGTCAAGGTCCCCGAGGCGAAGATGCCTCCCGTGTCGTGCTGGAGGGACCCCAGCGAGAGCCGGGACACCTGCTCCGTGCTGGGGATGGTGGCCACAGCCTGGGTGTCTGTGGGCAGCTCCTCGCCTCCTGATCCTCACGTCCTTCCATCCAGTCTCCACGGCAAAATCCCAGGGTTGTGCATGTGCCTGCGTGTGCGTGTGTGCCCACGTGTGCATGTGTGTGCCCACATGTAGAGGAGGCCTCACGTCTGTGCCCGCTCCCTGCCCTACCGCGCTCCTTGGGTCCTATGAAGTCCAGGGCGCTCTGTCCCTTCCCTTCCTGGTCACACGGTCACTGCACCTCCTTTAAGAAATCGTCATCATCTGCCTTTTGTTCTAGTGGTTTACAAATGTGCTTCTCCCCTCTGATTTCTTGGATTCATCTCGGGGCTTTTCAAACGATGAGCAGCATTCCTGGCACGTGACAGACGCTCAGTCTGTGGCGATGGATCAAAGGCAGGCAGGCGGGAAGTGGGGATGGCGCAGAGCTGGAAAGGTGGGTGGTGGGCTGAGGAAGGCCTCATAATAAGCCCTTCCCCCTGAAGCCCACCCCTGCCTCCCTCTCTAGAGAACTTCTGCTGGTGTTTCACTGCCTGGGTGAGGTGTTGGGATATGGAGTCCAGTAAGACCCTTTGCTGTGTATTGGCAGCCGATGGTCTGGCGTGGAGAGGAGCCGCGCACCCTCTGAGTCCAGCCACTGTCGCCCCGCCAGCCGCCCCCTCCCCGGCAGGGAGTGAACTACCCAGGGGACACATGCACATGGCTTCAGGTGGCTCTTATGCGCGGGAGGCAGTCTTGGGCCCCAGATGTTTTGTGTTTGTTGCTGGGAACCCACCCCATCTGCAGACACGGCTGGGGTCAGGGTGACATCAAGGGGGCCGGGCCCAGAGGCTCTCGGACAAAAAGACTAATGAACCTGCCGCTCATTTCTTCTGAGCCCTGGGCCCCCTTGGGCATGTGAGGAAGCCCTGCACCCCACCGCTGCTGGGGGATGCCCCTGTCGTTTGGCTTTTCATGGATGATTTTGTATTTCCCCTTGGAGGTTTGGTGCAGCTCATATATCAAAAACTGTTGTAATTATTTCCTCCCACTGAGGAAGGCTTCCATTTAGCTTTCTCTAGCTGACCCCCTTATTAATTATCTGATTACAACCACATTCTCCAAGAGAAAGCAGCCTTTTGACTGTCTGCCCAGGGCCACTTAAGAAGGCTCACATATTTGGAATGCTCTGAACTTGAAAAAAACGAGGTGTGTGTGTGTGTGTCCATGCACATGAGTTTTAGGGGAAATGTGTTTTAGCCTCTTCAGAACTTCACCTTCATTTGGCAAAGGTTTCTAGGGTTCCTGAGCCCTGGGGTTTCCGAGCGGAGCTCTGCTTCACGGGGACAAGCTGGGGGCATGGGAGGAAGCCGGCGGCTGGCAGCGCCAGGGCCCACGCTCTGACACATGGACATCAGGGCTGGCCACAGACCCACTGGCTCCCAGCTTCTCCCCAGCACATCTCCCTAAGCCTGTAGATGCGGACGACAGCATGTGGGGATCCCCAGCCTGTGTCCCCTCGCCCGGGTGCTCATCACGCCATCCGGTCTCCCTCTGGGCAGTGAGCGCTGCTCTCTAGCTGCACCTTCCTTGGCGGGTGCAGGCTGCTGGGGGAGGCAGCCCCTGCCAGGCCATTTGGCTGCCAACCTGGTGCCTTCCTGGCTGACCCCTGGGCCATGGTGGGGGTGGGAGGAGGCGCTCCCCTGGATGGGCCCATCACCAGGACCCTCTGCAAAGCAGACGGCAACCCGGATGTGCGGCGGGTCCAGCCTCAACTCTGCTATGATTGACCCACATGCTCCTTGGCACACCTGTCACGTGAGCTCCAGGGGCCCCCTGGGGATGGGACAACTGGGTCTGTCCATCACGATGGTGGGCGCAGAGTCACATATAGCACCACACACCACACACAACCACACAGATGTACACACACACACACATAACCACACATGAGTGAAATGTGAACAAGCGGGTGGGCTGCATGCCTGTTGACTCTCTGGCTGTGGTGTGGCACTGGACTTGGACAAGATGACACCACTGGGGGAAACTGTGATAGGTACATGGGCTTCCTCTGTACTGTTTTTTTTGCAACTTCCTGTGAATCTATAATTATTTCAAAAGCACAAGTTTTAAAAAATCCCTCCCTTCACAGCAACACATCCCGTGTTTCTGGCCTCACCTCCTGCCCCTCCTCAACCCTGCAGGGCAGCCTGGCTCTCCACGCCAGATGCCCTAGCCCCACCTTGCTGTGGCACCGCCCCTCCTTCAGAGGTCAGGTCCCCTAGGTCAGGCCACACGGATCCCACCCACTCCCTAGGGAGCAGGGGGCCTGCCGAGTGCCAGTTGGGGGCGTGGGTGTCCCCAGGGGGCAGGGGAGCCAGCCCCTTGGGGTCGAAGCAGCAGGAGGCTCCTCGGGGCATGGCTTGCAGATGCCCTGGTGAGCCGACTACTGTCACCTGTCAGTTCCTGCAGCAGGGACACGGAGGGGGCTGCAGAAGAACAGGGCCTACTGTCTGCCCCGTTCCTTCGAGCCTGGCCCCCCTTGATGAGAGGGTCCGAGTGCTCCAGGATGCCAGGCGCTGCCCCGGTGCTCAGCCCCCCTTCCTTGTCTTCCAGGCTGTCCTTTGGGGCTGAGGCACTAGCAGAATGGGATGCACCCAAGTCCGTCACTTCTGAAACCTGAATGACCTCAAGGAAGCCGCCCACCTCTGCTCTCAGCACGGCCTTAGACAAGGGGACAGCAACAGCATCGATGGACACCCTGGACCACCCGCTTCCCTGGGATGGTCCCCACAGAGGCAGTGGCACTCACTGTCCCTCTTGCCCATGACATGTTCATTGTCATCCTTGCCACTGTTTGGATTTTTCCTCTGGATTTTATTTTTTGGGGAGGGGATTTATTTTTTCTGAAAAATCTCTAGATTCAGGACCACATTTGTGAGGATTTGGACTTTGGATTTGTATTTTCCTCTAAGTGCCTTTTTTAAATGTATTTTTTTAATAAAACAGAAATGCATTCCTGTACGATTCTGTTTAAACTGGACCAAGGCTCTCAGACAAAGAACCTCGCCTTCTTTCCTACCCCATCTCTGCATGATTGTTTCAAATAAGCCTGGAATTCTTCTCACACCTCTGTTCCTTTCCTTCCTGACTCGCTCAGCTATAACCATTTAAAAAAATTTTTTTCTGTTTCAGTGTATATGTTGCTTATTTGTTTTATTTATTGAGATATTTTTAACAAGCTCAGTGACTGCAGTGTGGCCCTGTATACTGCTCCCCCTCCCAGGAATAATAAAAACCTCCATGCAGCCTGGTCTTCGTCTCTTCTCTTCCGTAGGAGAAAGTTGGACAGGTTGCAAAAATGACTTTCATCTCACTTTAAAAGGGACAAGACAGGACGTGAGGCATTTTATGCCATGCATAACTCTGTAACTTTCTAGAAGCTACCATCTCTAATGTGGTCGAGAGTGTTAACAGACCCAGGCCTGGGAGAGCAGGTGAGGTCAGCCTCCACCCCTTCTATGCTCCATCTGCCTCCCCTGAAGCCTCAACTACTGGACGTGATCGCTCTCTGGACCACGTCCTGTTCTTAGATCAAGATCACCCATCTTGGGTCCCATTCCTGCTGTCCAGAGCCAGGGAGGCAATGCTGGCTCTGCGGAGCCCTCCCCCTGGCTTCACCCCCAGGCACGCTGTTCGTGTTACCCCTCCACGCTCCTCTGAAGGGATCGCTGTCTGTTCTGAGCGGGTCTGGCCCATGGGTTAACCAGTAGTTCCACGCAGCTGGTCAGCCTCTCGGGCCTCCCACACAGCACGGTGTGGTTGGGGAAGGAGCCCCTGTCCGTACAGGTGAGGAAGGAGCCCTTGCTGGGAAAGCCCAGGAGCATCTGGCAAGGGATGGGTCCCGGTGGGCAGGCCACAGGGCAGACGCGTCTTCACGCGGGGCAGGGAGTCCTTCACCCCGCCTGCTGGCCTTAACCTATCCTTGGGCGGCACTGGAGGTTGTGGGTGGCCCCCCAGGATAAGGGCTTCCAGCTGGGGACCTGCAAGTCACCACCCTGAGCCCTGGAAGCACACACTGGATACAAGGATCTGTTGGGCGGAGGTGTCTGAGGACAAGAGGCCACACAAACCCCACTCAGCTTCCAGACAGGATCCTGGGGATCGGGGGGTCTCTGGCAGGTCTGTGGTGGCCTGTGAACCTTCTCCCTCCACTCCTACAACGGTTCCCAGGCCCATCAGAAAGAGAGGTGCTCTGGAAATGCCAACCTAACCACACCCTCTATCACCCAGCTGGATGGGTCCTGTGCTCTTCTCTGGGGTCTGGTCCCTGCGGCACGAGCCCCAACACCCACTGCGCATGTCCACACGCGCGCGCGCGCGCGCGCGCACACACCCCCCCAAACCCTTGTAGAGACCTGGAGAGGATGGAGCTGAGCGGCTGTGTCCCTGACAGGGGGAGCCTGGCCCCCGGGCTGTCCCTACGGGGCCCTGGAGAGGCCCACCAAGACGATGGCACCTCCCCTTGAAGTGATTCACAAGAAGAACAATTCCAAGTCACATCACACAAAACCGACAGCTGGAACGGCCACGAAGAGCTTCGTTCTGGGTCTCTAGATTGCAAAATTCATGCTGTTTCTCCCAGAGCTGGAGCTGACGGCTGGTCTGCCTGCGGAGTGGGCGGCCCTGGTGTACCCCGCAGGTGACCAGGCCTTGTGAGCCTCCCGTGACCGGCCCCAGGCGGAGGGCTCGGCCAGGCGCGGCCACAGCCAGGAGCGTTGGAGGAGCCGCGTCTGTGTTGCCGCCGGGGGTGGGGTCTTGCGGAGGGGCGCCCCCCGCAGAGTCTCTGGAAATGGTTTGTGGGCCCAGCAATGCGGGGAGAGCACTGCGCCTGGGCCCCCGTCGCCCACACTGCAGACTTCCTGGGTCCCAACCCCTGCCCTGGTCGGGCCCTTGTTGCTGTGGCCATTTCAGCTGGATTTACGTCTGTTTACGATGCAAAAAGTCCTAACACATATGTGCTCAAAATTACCACCAAAACAGAAATTAGGTCATTGTTGGCTAGCAACTGTCCTGCTGGCAGAATTTTGTGAGAGGAAAAAAGTAACCTTTTTTGATATATTGGCATCCTAATAGCCCACATCCAAATGGTAACCTTTACAATGACACCAACGAAAATGGAAACTGAATCCAGGTGAGCGGGGTCCCCTTCGCACCTGCCCTGGGCAGGGGAAGGTCTGCGGGCATCCTGTTCCCACTGACGGAAGAAGAAAGACAAGGAGTTTTCGGATTTGACAAAACACAGCAGAATGAACAGCAACAGCAAACGACCTTTTCTCTCCATTTCTGCATCTCTGAGGAAGGAATAGTGGAAAATAAATAGAACCTACGAGGCTCTTGGGAAACTTAAAGTGACAGCCTATGGGCCTGTAACCTTGAAAGCCACAAAGGGCACCCAGACTTTTGTTGTCATCACTGGAGGCTGTGTGACCGCCACCCTTCCGGTGCCCAGACCCTGAAAGAAGTTTTGGATGCACGTTGGAAGCTAAGTCCGACCTCTGGGTTCCTGAACTTGAATGTTCTGATTTAGGTCATGTGACTCAGGGCCACCAGACCGACAGGTGGGGACGACACTCATTTCTGAGGGGGGCACACTAAAAATAAGCTTTCTCTGGGGGTCAAGATCCCCAAAACCTGTGCTGGGGCTCTTCCTGGACCTGCATATGACTCGCGAATTGCTGTAGCCCTCTCCCCGGAGGGCGGGGACTGCACGGCGCCAGACAGGTGAGCGCAGGTGAGCGGTGTGCCTGAACCTCAGATGACCGCATGCTCGGATCAGAACAGCTCTTGACCTTCCAATGGCCGTGGGGCTGACTCAGCACAGAGCAGTGCTTTTCCTCCATTTATGTATTTTTTAAACAGACTCCACAAAACAGTACGCCACTTCTTTAATTTGTTACTGACTTAGTTTTGTTCCGATTTTGAAAACACATCATTTTGATGCCAAGATTAACAAAATCTGGCTCTTTATGATGTTGGAATGGACCCAACAATTCACAGATTTAAAAAAAAGGCTAAGCTAATCAAGTTGGAAAAAGTTGTACATTCTGTTCATTGGATGGTCCTGCTGACCCCACAGACCCGGACCCTCCCCACTGTCCATTCTGGGAGTTGTAAGAATTAATAAAACAAAAACACACAGAAAACTCCCTGCCTTAGTTTTTATGTCCTTTGTGTTAACACTGTCTTCCTGCCCACCGCTCTTCCGTGTAAACAGCCACATTGCTGCACAGCCACCCCCAGCCCTCCCACCCTGGCCCCCTGGAGCAGGAAGGGGGCTGGACCCAATGGCAGCCAACTGCTGAGCGGCCACGGGCCCGTGGCATGGGTGGCCTGCATCAAAAAGATGAGCTGGGCCAGGCAGAGCCCTCTTGGGAACTGGGAAACAGAGGCTGATCTCATTGTGGGGTGGGAGCTGAAGCCGAAAGGATGCGTATCTGGAGCCGCAGCGGGGGTGGGGGTGGGGCGGACACGTGGGCCCTGAGCAGGCTGGAGAGAGAAAACTGCAGGATATGTGAGGAAACAGAGATAGCTGGCTGGAGGGGGGCCGTGCAAGGACACAGGGGGCCTCGCCTCCCGGCAGCAGGTGCAGAGCAGTCACTCTGACCCTTGGTGCCCTCTACTTCCAGACGGTACCTTCCATGGTACACACTTTTGTCCAGACCTCTTTTCACGCCTTTCTTATTACATCGTTGGGTTCCAGTTACTACTGAGGAATAAGCTGCCTGTTGTGATGTCCTGACTGTATTTCCCTTGGGGCATAGGGCATTTCTCATTCTTTGCCCAAGGCTTCCCAGCCACTCACCATGTGATATCCCCGGTCCATCCCGAGCAGACCCTCAAGGGACAGAGCCAGGGAGTTCACACACTGGGACAACTCTTAAGCCGTTGGACAGTAGCCGGAAGATAACTACCCTTTTGTCACAGGTGGACAATAGGAGCCCATTTTCCATGGTCACTTAGAGGGCCCCCAGCAGAACTGAGCCTCATGCCCAGGATGCCCTCGGATCAGCTTTCCCTCTCCCGTTTCACCTGCCCAGCGCCCTCTTCCCTCGTTCCCTGGGAACTGCATGAAATATGCGACCTGTACCAAAGCCTGTCTCAAATTCTGCTTGGAAGGTAAAGCCAATCCTTTTCTTGAGGCAATGTAAATGACTCTTTCCTGAAACCAAAATAACTCAATCTAGAAGGGCTTTTAAAAAACAGTTCGGAACCTCCACTCCCAGGAACATGGTAAACTAAGTTACTGAAGCCAATTTACTCAAAAAACAAAATTTCTGGAAAAAGCATTTAAAGATCCTTTTAAAAGCAATGAAGAGCGAACAAGATAGTAAGAAATCAACAGACTGAAAAAAAGGGGGAAATGGGATCCAGAGGGATAAACAGACAAGTAAGCTGCTAGTGGCCAAAGGGCATTTGAAGATCCAGGCAAACTGACTGCCGCTCTGACGTGCAGAGACCTCCCAAATGGATGTCTGCGCGGAGACTCATCCTACCGCGATCTGAAACCTCCCGGATGGACCCCTGCTTTCCCCATACCTCACTCAGGGGACTCCAAGGAAAGGTAGCTTGGTGCTGAGTAGAGTACAGAGGAAAACCCACCTGGGAGAAGTTGTAAACACAAGCTAATCCTGATGCTTATTCCCCCCTAAATTTATGTCACTTTGATGGCAAGAATAAAACAAGAATAAAATCTAATGAAATTTTCAAGTAATCCAGAAGGCAGGAAAAAAATGACAGAGAAATGAAAAACAGAGAGAGCAAACACAGAACAGAACAGAACAAAACAAAACAAAAATACAGACTTAAAGCTAAGGCAATGCAGAAAGGAAAACATAACACTAAATGCATACCTTAGAAAAGAGCAAAAGCATCAAATCGATAATCTAAGTGCCTACCTGAAGAATTTATAAAAAGAAGTGTAAAAGAATTCCAAAACAAAGAAGAGACAAACAGTGGAAGAAAGGGAAGAAAATAATAATAGAAATAAATGCAATTGAAAACATAAAAGCAATAGAGAAAAATCAATGAAACAGAGATTTGAAAAGATTAATAAAATTGACAAACCTTTATCAATACTGGCTAAGAAAAAAGAAAAGAAGACAAAAATTACCAATATCAATAATAAAACAGGGAACATCAGTACAGGCTCTTTACACATTTAAAGGATACTAATGGAATGCTGTGAAAAACTGCATACATTTGTCAACTTAGATGAACTTGATCAACTACTCAAAGAA